CTTGCGAATTCGACGTTTTCTTGTCAGTGACCGAGGTTGCTTATTTTCAACATCTAGTTCATAATTAGAAAGAATCACTGAACTAATAAACCTTCTAATGGAGCATTATCTTTCAGGCCCCGCCCCGACGCACACATTAGAACTAACACATTAATATATTGCCACGTTCCATTTCCCAAGTTTTCGTTATCGTCCCAAAACACGGAGATTTCTCCTGTCTTCGGCCACGTCACGACCCCGTGACAATATATCTGTTCTTCCGAAATTAATTCATTGATTTCGCAGTAGTAGAAAATTTACTGTACTAGAGCACGTGTACAAGAGGAAACTAGGGCGAGGGTGGGTGGGTAAACCGTTGAAACAAAAAGTGCAGTGTGACAGTGAGCAAACAAGGCTCGCATATGGCAAGGGTTTTGTGTAGAGAATCACCCAGTGATAAAGTTGCAGAGGCTATGGGGTAGGGCGGGAGGTATTTCCAGGATTTCTTCTCCCAAAGTACCGGTCGTGGTGGTCTCGGCCCTATACGGTGACTCACTGCTGAGCCGAAGGTCGCGGCATCGAATACCGGCCATTTCGATGGAAGCGAAATGCTGAAGGACCCAACGCTAGACACAGATGTGCATTAAACACATTAGGCTGTTTGCCGCAATGTTCTCGATTGGCGCAACAAAACCACTTCGCTGCCGCCGCATATAGCGCAACGAACCACGACCACAACGAAGCCATGGCACTCCGAGCAGTTGTTTGGTCGGGAGGGGGGGGGGGGGGTTGGTGGAGAGGTGGAGAGGGGAAACGAATCAAGGAATGCTGGGATTAGGTGGAATGAATCACAATGGCTCTCAGGGTCACCTATGAATGCGCTTCCTCGAAATCGTTGGAACGCAGCGACCGCAAAAAAACAAACAAAAAAAAAAAACAAGTGAACACAAACGAAACACAGCTACAGCAACAAGGGATTCGTGTGGGCGTGTGCCGCCTCCAAAACATGCCGCACACGCTTGTACGAGCAGACGACGAAGGCTGCGGGGACACATAGGAAGTAAGGAAAAGGGTGGAAAGGGGGTGCAGTCAATGGAGCGCGTCCGGCTGAAAGGCCCGAGGTACAGTATGGAGGCGTATCGAAGAAGGGCGGGGGGGGGGGGTGCCTTTACGATTGCGACTAAGGCGTACAGGGGCTGACGCCATTCCTGGGGTGAAGCCACGCGTATCGACAAGGAGGACGACAACGACGTCGAACAAGCGATCGGGAAGGTCGACGAATCCGCGGCTCTTTCTCTTCGGATTCGGTCGCGTGCTCGCGTACATGCGCGCGCGTCAGCGGCGCCGAGCGCAATCAGTTTCGCACAGCGGAAGGCAAAAAAAAACTGTTTCTTACGTCCCGCTGTTCCGTTTATACAAAAACGCTTGCACTCCTCTGTCTGGGCCATCGGCGTGCGGCGCGACCCGTAGACGTAAACGTAAACAAATGCGGAGGCACAGCTCAAGACTTCGAGGTGGCCTCGAGGTCTGTCTTGACATCGGTGCAGCGTTATAAGAGGCATATGAACCTCTCATGGCTTTGAGATACTTAGACTTGTCGCGAAACGAGAGTTATGGAATATGGGCGGCGAAATCTCAATGGAGATTCTTGAAAACAGAACTTTTTTTTCCCGGATTAAGGTTGGATCGGCATGCGTCGTCGGGACGATTTTGTCTCGTGGTGTGCAAACCTGTGTTGCATCTTGGTTCTGGGAGGAAGTGGTCCTGGTGTAACTTGTGTAGGTGACAAGTGCCCCTTTTGCACCCCCCCCCCCTGCCGACGCCCATTTGGATAGGACAGGGCATGCAGTTGACAACAGCGAGGCATCGTCTAGCTGACCTGTGGCTTTTACGTAGGTCATGGCTTTTAATGTTTGTATTTTTCCGAGTCTAACGTTGAAACCAAAGTATTTCGATTCCGCGCTACGGCTTTAGCCGCACTGCACGGTATTGACGACAGAGAAGGACAGAAAGGGAAATGGATCAGACACAAACAGCTTTAAGCTCCACGATGTAGAAGGAAGGGTGAATGGAGTATCGAAGCCAGCAGCGTGTTCAGAACGTAAATGGAGTGCGTATTTTTTTTTCTAAGTTTCCTGATTCACGACAGCCCGGAAATCACATACACGGCCGACTAGGAGTGCGTGGCGGAAGCGATAGAGGGCGAGCGATAAAGGAAGCGGCGCGTGTTTGCAATGGAAAAGATTGCCCCGTATAATACTGAGTTTTCTACGCAACGGTCCGACGTTGTTGTTGCTGTTGCTGGCTCCCTGTTGGTCGCTCTGTTTGTCCTGGCATCGGTGTTGTGGCACACAGCGTGACAAATCGAGTTCGCCTCGTCTCGGAACATGCGTTCGCTCGCAATCCGAAACGAATTAACCGAGAAAGTCGGAGACGCGGCGCAGGAATCGGTCGAGAAGACCGATTGTCGACGCGCTTTACAAGCAGACTTTGCAGACGCGCGTCCTCCTCTTCTTCCCCCCATCTTCTCGACTCCGGTACGTGCCACGACGTGCTATTCCACGCTGTTACGACCGCGTCGAGATGCCTGTCAGGCCCGTCCGCGGCCTCAAGTAATCTCGAGCCATTCTCGGGGAATCGTTCAAATGTCCTTTCCACGGACCCCGCCCTCCCGTAGCAACGCCCGTGTATGCTTTATACGCGTGGAACAATCCAGGCGGCGCCATGCCGGTCTGCCGTTGATTCTTGCTGCACGGGTGGACCTAGCCGTGCGCAGCTGAGTCAAGGGACGCGGCGAGCCTGTGCGAGGCTGGCCTTATAACCGAGCGACGAGGGGCGTTGTCTGTGCAAAGAAGGAAGCCGCGGGCACTCCTTCATTTGACTTGAGTTGGGCGTGGGACCGCGTGTACGTAAGACGGGTCGCCATTATTGTCGAGCCGGCCGAACGATTCCGTCGTGGCCGGGTGTGATGACAGCGGCGACACCTTCCGGAAGTCATTCTTCTTCTTTCTCTCTCGTTGCTTATTCTTCTTGTTTTCGGATCGCGAAATGGAGGCGACGCTCGCGAGAGCTTCCGTCTCACCTCCCAAGTGAACGCCTTCGGCAATGCGTAGAATCGGACCGGGCATAGAAGAGACGGCGTTAAAGGGTTCTTTCAGCCGTGCTAGTGTATACCTTTTGTAGCATGCTGACTACAACTGGTGCCGCCTTAGTCAAACTCCTTATAATTTAATAATAATAAAAATTGCGTGTTTAACGAGCTACAACTTCGATACGATTTTTGAGGCTCGCCGTAGTGGAGGGCTCCGGAAATGCAGACTACCTGGTGTTCCCTAACAGGCACTGAGATCGGGCTACACACAGGCATCTAACAACTTGTCTCCATCGAAACGCGATTAACTCTACGGGGATCGAACCCGCGACTTGATTGATTGATTGATTGATTGATTTGTGGTGTTTAACGTCCCAAAACAACCATATGATTATGAGAGACGCCGTAGTGGAGGGCTCTGGAAATTTTGACCACCTGGGGTTTTTTAACGGGCACCCAAATCTGAGCACACGGGCCTACAACATTTCCGCCTCCATCGGAAATGCAGCCGCCGCAGCCGGGATTCGATCCCGCGACCTGCGGGTCAGCAGCCGAGTACCTTAGCCACTAGACCACCGCGGCGGGGCGAACCAGCGACTTTCGGGCCTGCAGCCTGTCACTGTAACCGCTGTACCACCGAGGCGAACTACCTCGTGAATAATGCGTTAGGACTATCGTCTGCCGATAATCGTTAAGTATTAAGCGATGACTGCAGAGATGACTGCCGCTTACGCGGTAGTCATCTCTCGCGGTTTCTGCACGAACAGTTTTCTGGGGTAAGTGTCACGATTTACTGAGCTGTTTCTCGATGTTGATGCAACGCGGAGCAATACGTTTTTATCTATTACACGGCGTATAGATGGAGTATCGCACTATGAGAGGCTCTAAAGCGTGTCGTACGACGGCTGCTGGGCATGGTTGTATGTCCTTGCTCTCGGTGTATACAATCGGATCACTACAGAGCGATGTTCTGCTCAGCCTTATCGTTCAGACACTTTAAGACTACACATCACCGAGCTCATTAGAACTCGAACTCACGTGCTGTTTTCAGCCTTAGTGAATTGACCGACCTATGCACTAAGTGTGAAGTCAGACGGAAAAGTCACGTGGTCTCTCCAGCGATATCATTTTCCAGCGATATCATTTTCTTCCCAGTATATTGTACGGCATCATCTTGGCATTACGCCGTGACGTGGCGTCATTTTAGATTGCGGTCGTGCGACTTTTGGTACGCCGACAGCACACGTACATTCACTCTTGTATCACACGACTTTCGGCCGACTTTTCTTTCTTAGCTTTTTTACGGCCGCGTTCCTGTCGATGCTGACAAAGTCTCCCAAAGTATCGTCAGGCTTTTGCATATCTCAAAAAGTTCTTGCCGGAAGCAACGCGCTGAGGTATTTCACTTAACCTTCTTAAACGCGAGTGGTGAAAACAAGTCTCATTGCTTTTTGAACAGTTGTGGGGCTTTGAGGTAAGATTTTTTTTGGAGTTTAACGTCTCAAAACCACTATATGATTATGAGAGACACCGTAGTGGAGGGCTCCAGAAATTTGGACCATACGGGCCTCAAGCATTTTCGCCTCCATCGGAAATGGCGTGGCCACAGCCGGGATTTGATCCTGCAACCTGCGAGCCAGCAACCGAGTGCCTTATCCGTTATATAGACCACCGTTACGGGTTGAGGCACTAAAGTTCAGCTGTTTTAGTGTGACAACATTAGAAAAATCACCGTAGCGAAAAGTGCGTGCGCTATTAACTCTGAAGTTTACCGTAATTAATCGTGTAATACAGGCTAATACTGACTAATGTTTTCTCGTGCTTGTTATTAAGATAATTAGAGGTAAATAAATTAAACACAACGCTAGTGCAGCTTTCTCGCATTCACCTCGCAATTGTCATTGATGGTACGCTCTTCATTGTGGCGCAGGAGCAGTAATGGCAGCAGCAGCAGCGGCAGTAGTGGCGGGTCAGCAAAGTGCGACCGCGCAGCTCGAAACGGAAGCGCCACTGTTGGCGAAGCACGTCTGCAGCCGCTACGAGGTGCGGCTGCGGTGCGACGACGGCGAGCTGGTGGCCATCCACGACGCAATGTACGCCAGCCAACCGCCGCCTGACGCGCCACCGGCGAGACCCGGCTGCGGGCCGATCTACGAGACGACGACGCAAGACGGAGCCACGGTCGCATCCACTGCGCCAAGCCCGTGCGAGCAGGACCTTCGCCTGGCAATTAACAGCAGGTTAGTCATCGAGATGTAGAGCGTGTTCGTATAGATAACGCGTGCTGCCGGCGCGTATGTGTCATATTTAGAAACGATGCGATCTTCTACCCTTGTTACACACGCAAGTTAACTTCGGGTACAACCAACGACGGTTAAGACCACAGTTAGCGCCAACCCCGGTTTACCATTGCCACATAGTGAAAAAGGGTCCTCAGTTAAGGTGGCTTACGCCACCTCCAAGAACGCCGCTAAACCAAGGTTGCCCATCTCACTTTTCTAGTAGCGCGGTTGGCGACATAACCGTGGTTTCGCGTATAGGCGAACCGCAGTTGGCACGTAACTGCGGTTTCGTTGACCGCGGCTTAGGCTGCCTGTATAACAAGGGTATTACCCGACCTCGTGGTCCGTTCCGTGCTCTGAAAGCTGGATTTAAAGAACGCTGACGTTTTACCCAATAGCAGGTGTATCAAGCTCTTCTCGCAGTGACGGAATCTGAACCCGCAAGGGGCCAAAACAGTGAAGGTCGGAGTGATGAGGGAGAAGCGGAGGGGGTAAGAAAAGGGTGGTGGGGTCCTTGATTGAAATGTTGGATAACGTCACCATTTGAAGAGAGGCTTTACTCATGTTTCATATAAGGGTCATTCCCAAAGGGGGTTTTGCACAACGTCCTTGGTTTCCCATCAATATTCAAACAGCATTTATGTCTGTCTACAGAATTACTAAAATTTGGGGGCCTTTTCTAAGATATAGTGTGTCTTGTTTCAAGGTTGTGTTCAACACATGGTAACTGCACTGGATCCCTTACTAACGCTTAAATAAAAAATAAAGTTTGAGACTGGTTATGTCTGCGTAGCTCATGAGAATAATCACCAAGAAAAGATATGGGATGAAGAAAGTCTGTGTTAGGCCGAGAGGATAGGTTATTTCGTGCAGGTGGTAACATGGATTCGGGAATACTTGTCCTTGCGTTCTCAGTACGTAGTGGTAAATGGCGCAAAATCGGGTTTGGCTAGCCTAACATCTGGTGTCCCTCAGGGCTCAGTGTTGGGCCTCTCGCTCTTTTTATTATTCATAAATAATCTTCCCGACACTATCGCTTCTTCCATCAGATTGTTTGCTGATGATCTAATAATATATAGGGAAGTTACAAGCGTCGATGATACCGTTCTTTTACAAAATGATTTAACGAAAATGGAAAACTGGTGCCGTGATTCACATATGCAAATAAACGTGCAGAAAACTGTTCATATGCGTTTCACAAAAAAAAAAAAACGTATAGCATCGACACTTTATAGTCTGTCTGCTTCTCCGTTACAAACTGTTTCAGAGTATAAGTACTTGGGCGTATTCCTTACATCATCCATGTGTTGGCACAGGAACGTAGATTACGTTACTGAAAGGCATGTAAGGTGTTGGGATTCTTGCGGCGTAACACAAAACTGTTTCCTCAGCAGGCCCGCGATCTTCTCTACAAGAGCTACGTCAGACCAATATTAGAGTATGGGTGCACTGTATGGGATCCTCCCACAAATGCCGATTGCGACAAGCTTGAGCGAGTTCTGAACATGGCTGCAAGATACGTTATCGGTAGCTATAAGAGAAACCTTAGCATTACTGCTACAAAAGAAACATTAAAATGGGAGCTTCTAGAAAAAAGAAGGCAAATTTCGCTCTTGAAGCTTTTTCACAATATATATCATGGCAACATTGGAATAGACCGTAATCAGTATATTCTTCAGCCCCATTATGTATCAAGACGAACAGATCATGAGCTCAAGGTTAGAGAATATAGCTGCAGGACTAATCTTTTTAAAGACACTTTTTTCCCCAAAACTATTTCTGAATGGAATCGTCTGCCTGCTGACAAGGTCAGCATAATAGATAACGAAGCTTTTGCGGCCGCTCTTTGACATCTCATTCTGTCTTCAGCTGCAGTCGAATTTTATGCAGTGTTTAGTTCGTATCACATCGTTTTTGTATTTTTATGTTTGTACAGTATAAATTTCATTTTTGTTTTCTCTCTTCGTCTGGGTTAGCTGATCTTTTCATGTGTATTGACAACAATGTATGCCGCTACTTCTCGTTAGTTTTTTCACTACCAATGTTCTTGAAATGTATGATTTATTAATTCTCTGTGTAACCCCTCCCCCCACTGTAATGCCTAAATGGTGCTGTGGGTACAAGTGTAAATAAATAAATAGATAAAAGACAGTCATCTGAGGCCGAGAGGATAGGTTATATTCCGTGGGCCGCATGCACAAGTCACCTGTTTCGTAGGGCTTTCCACGTGATGTGAACATAAGCCAGATTGTCAACCAATTCGCTACTTCTACCCTGATTCCGCAGATACTTTTACCGTGATTCCGCAGACAAGCAGATAGATAAAAAGCGCAGATTCTCGCCATGCTGGATGTATAACAATACGGCAGCCTCGATGACTTCAATACAACACCGTATACACATACAGTCGAGCGTCGAAGACAAGCTGCTCGGCGTGGACTGAGTAGTGTCAATGGACGAGGTCGTCATCACTAGCCTGTGTACGGAAGTGGCAATACGAGTGAGCCATAGAATTTGATGCTTAACATAGACGTAATTTACTTTTCGGGGCATATGATCTAATCGTATAGTATTCGAAGTTTCCTTCACCCTATTGTTGTCTTTTTCCTCCCACTTTCCCTTTCCGCCTCAACCTGCTAACCACTGTGCAGTAAAACTGTTCGTCCGTTGAAGTGTGCTGTCAACTGCCGTACAGGCTAAGCACGCGGGGATTGACGGTTACAGTGCATTCAGATGCAATGTCATTGCATGCATTACATTTATTTTCTTCGTTTATGTAAATACAAATGCAATGAACAGGTATCACCAGCACCTGATCCCGCATTGAAAAAGTTCACCACTTAGAAAAGTCTGTACGTTAGGTTTGTTAGGCAGAATACATGCAATTAACTCATTCATTAATAGTGCCCTAAGTTGAGGCACCCAAGTTACTCGTGCACAGGTAAAATCGGTGAGGTGCTACCTGCGTGGAAGTTCTGACACTTCCCAGTCGACCGTGACATACAGAGGCCTTGTAGCGTGTGCAAGAAAAACAAGAGAGAGAGAGAGAGAGAGAGAGAGAGAGAAACAAAGAAAATAGAAAACAAATCTCTATAGTTGTATACCGTTTGCTTTCGGGCTCGCGGGTCACAGTGCAAAACGGAAACGAGACACAAATAACCCACTTCCTCGTGGAGTCTCGTCAGTCGTGTTCCGGCGGTCTCCCCTACTTCCGGATCGGGGTCTCACCGCGAAGGCACTTCTGCTCTCTCTCTTTCTTCTCTCTCTCTCTCTCTTTACACACGACGCCTTTTTGCCTCACTGTCTCATTTTGCAACGGACACGTCACATCTCCCGTCCCGACGCCACAGGCTAGCCAGGAACCTCCGCAAGCTTCCTTTTCGTGTTGCTTGATTCCTCAATGCTTCTTTTTTCCTGATGGAGCAAAAGGGACCATATGCTGTACATCCGCCACTCTTGCCGGAATACCACGTTTTAGTCGCTGCAACGTAAGCATCTCTTCGTACACTCCTCGATTTTTCAATTTATTGTCTTGTTTTTTTGTTGTTGTTTTTCTCTACTCCGTTATTCCGCGACACTTCTAAGCGGGACGAAATTGCGCCCATTTTCGTGAGCAAATGACACGAATACGACGACGCGTGGATCGCACGACACGCGCAGATCCCCACCGCTTTCCTGACTTCCCTTTTTGTCCTCGGCCCGTTTGAGTATATACAGAACGCCAGTGCATATACGAATAGGCGAAAGCTTATACAACAAAGCGAGAGCGTGGCAAGATCATATCCAAAAACGCAAGAGTTTATACAAAAAAAAGTGAGAACATATACAAAAAAGCGAGTATATACAAAACGCGAGGGTATATACGAAAACGCCAGACCACGTCGCGAACGAGCGACACGCGTTTATTACGCTCGGCGACAAAGAGAGAAGCGGTGGATGGGCAAGCACGCGCGAGCGTGAGTGATGGACCACCTGCAACACGGCCATGGGCTGCGAGACGAAAGGCTGCACGCAGCCATGCAGCCCCCGTGTTTGCTAAGCACAACGTGCGTCGGCTACGATGCGACGTCGCTTCACGTAGGGCGACGGTAATACGGGCACCTATACCGTCTATGCGAAGATGCGCAAGCCACATCCACCGCTCCACTGCGCGGCGCGGAAGCCTGGAGCGTTGTGTAGAAGAACATCGTGGCTGCGGCCATCTTTGATGGCAGGGCTTTTCGAGTCCTCGACTGCCGCCAGCCTTTTTTGTCGAAGTGTTCCGCTTCGCGGGCGCAACCACGCCCAGCGCGAGATGAATGGCACGAGGTTGGCCCGCGTCGTAGAAAAGGGGTCTCTCAAGAATATACGCGCGAAATCACTAGGCTTAGATCATCTCACTTAGAGAGACAGAAAAGGAGGAAGAGAAGAAAGGTAGATGTAAAAAAATATATAAGCAAAGGTGTTAGCCAGAACAAATATCCGGTTTGCTACCATAGGTGTGCTAAGGGTTCTCCTTCGGAGGGGGCGGGAAGCCCCCTCCCCCTGCGAAGTCAGAGAACTGGAAAGACTTGATGCCCTTCCTAGGTGACTTACTGCACCCCGTCTCCCCATTTCGCATGCTTACGTTTGCTACACTGAGCGGTGAAGTGTTTGCATGCAAACATTTCACCGAAGTGTTGCATGCAAACGCTGCAGGAAAGGGTTTCAAATGACGCAGAAGCCCTGCAGAAGTTGGAGGCACGAAAAGGTAAGAGATTATTCAGCCGGGGAAGGAGGCGGAGAGAGAGAGAGAGAGAGATAAAGATGCAAGGAAAGGCAGGAAGGTTAACCAGACGCACACCCGATTTGCTTCCCTGCACTGGGGAAGGGATGAAGGGGAGAAAAGAGGTTGCAGAGGAAAAGCAGGGAGATCAACCATACGCGCTTCCAGTTTGTTACCCCAACTAGGGGAAGGGAATAAAAGAAAATGAGGGTTA